GCTGTGAAACTTTATTTCAAATACTAGTGGGGCCACCCATGATTGTTAAGATTCAGCAATTTCAAAACTAAGGCAGACTAGAAAGAAAGACCTGGTGATCTACTTCTAATAACCAGCCAATGCAAACCTTATAGATCACAACAAAACATTGTCCAATATAGTGCTGGAAGACAAGTCCCCTCAGTGGCCACAAGAATAGATTTGAACATATTTGAACATATGGTGAAAGGTCACAGGACCAGTCAATGTTTTATTCTGTTGTACATGAGTCATCATGAGTCAGAGCTGACTCAACTAACAACAATAATATCATGTTGTTGTTGTTAGGTGCCATCAAATCTGTTCCAATTCATAACGACCCTATGCACATCAGAAGAAAATGCTGTCTGATCCTATACCACCCTCACAACTGCTCATAAGCCCGAGTCCATTGCTGCTACTACTGTGTCAATCAATCTCACTAGATGTCTTGCTCTTTTTCACTGACACTTCATTTTACAAAGCATGATGTCCTTTAGGGACCAAAATATGAGAGGAAGTCTTGCCATTGTGGCTTCTAAGGAACATTCTGGTTGTACTTCTTCTAACACAGATTTGTTTGTTCTCCTGGCTTTCCATGGTACTTTTAATGCTACTGTCTTTTAATACAAAATCATAATTCAAATGCATTGATTCTTCTACAATCTTTCTTATTCATTGTCCAACTTTCACACACATATGAGGCTATCTTGAAAATACTATGACTTGCGTCAGATACACCTTAGTCCTCAAATTGACAGCTTTGCTCTTTAACACTTTAAAGAGGTCTTATGCAGCAGATTTGCCTAATGCAATATGTTGTTTGGTTCCTTGACTACTGCTTCTATGAGCATTGATTGTGGATCCAACTAAAATGAAATATTTGACAACTTCAATCTTTAATGATGTTATTTATTGGTCCCATGGTGAGGATTTTTATTTTCTTTATATTGAGGTTCAATTCATACTGACTGTTGTGGTCCTTGATCTTCATCAGTAAATATTTTATGTTCTCTTCACTCCCAGCAAGCAATGCTGTATCACCTGTGAAGATTCTTAATGAATCTTCTTCCAATTCTGACGCTGTATTCTTCATATAACTCAGTTTTTTTTATTATTTGCTTAGCATACAGATTGAATAAGTATGGTGGAAAGATACAGCCCTAGTGCATACCTTTCTTCATTTTAAACCAATTAGTATCCCCATGTTCCATTTTATCAACTGCCTCTTGGTCTATGCCTATGTGCATCATGAACACAATTAAGTGTTCTGGAATACCTATTCTTCACAATGCTATTCATAGTCAATAAAACAAGTCATTATCTTCCTTGTGTTTGGCTTTCAGCCAAGATCCATTTCATATCAGCAGTAATATACTTAGTTCCATGTGCTTTTCTGAATCTGGTTTGAATTTCTGGCAATTCCCTATCCATGTACTGTTGCAACCATTTATTTAATTACCTTCAGAAATATGTAACTTGCATGCAACATTTAAGATATTGTTCGATAACCTCCCCATTCTGTTGGGTCACCTCTGTTTGGAATGGGCAAAAACATGGATCTCTTCCAATCAGTTGTCCAGGTAGTTGTCTTCCAAATTTCTTGGCATAGATAAGTAAGTGCCTCCAGCGCTGCATCACTTTTTTGAAATACTTAAAGTTGTATTTTATCAATTTCTGGAGTCTTATTCTTTGCCAATGCCTTCAGTGTAGCTTGGCCTTCTTTCAGTACCATTGACTCTTGATCATAAGCTACCTCTTGAAATGGTTGGACATCGATCATTTCTTTGTGGTATGGTTGTTCTGTGCATTCCTTCCATCTCCTTTTGTCCTTCTACATTCTTTTGGTACTTTCTGCATCATTTAATATTTTGCCTAAAGAATCATTCAACATTGCAAGTTGAGTCTTGAATTGTTCCTCAGTTCTTTCAGCTTGAGAAATGCTAAGTGTGTTCCTCTATTTTTGTTTTCTAACTCCAGGTTTTGCACATTTCATTATAATACTTGACTTTTTCTTCTTGAGCTGCCCTTTGAAATGCTATGTTCAGCACTTTTACCTCCTCATTTTTTTCCCATTCACTTTAGCTTCTCTGTCTCAAAAGCAAATTTCAGAGTCTTAAATGACATCCATTTTGTTTTTTTCTTTCTTTCCTGTCTTTTTAATGACCTCTTGTTTTTGTTTTTGTTTTTGTTTTTGTTTTTGTTTTTTGTGTGGGTGTGTGTGTGTTCCTGTGTAATATTCACAATGTCATGCCACAACTCTTGCTGTTGGTCACTAGTGTCTAATGCATCATATCTATTGTAAAAGATGGTATGTAAATTCAGGTTAAGATATACTCAAGGTCATATTTTATCTCTCATGTACTTGTTTTAATTTTCTTCAGCTTCATCCAAAACTTGTATATGAGCAATTGATGGTCCACAGTCTGTTTTGACTGACGATATTGAGCTTCACTGTGTCTTCCCATAGATGTATTCAATTTAATTCCCATGTATTCCACATGGTGAAGTTCATGAGTACAGTCTCCTTTTATGCCATTTGAAAAAGCTTATTTTGATTTTTAAAAATTACAATGAAGAAGTTTTTAATCGTGCAAAATTCTATCACGTGGTTTCATGAATCATTTCTATCAATAAGATCGTGTTTTCCAACTATTGATCCTTCCTCTTTGTTTCAAACCTTTGGATTCCAAACAATGATAATTATTCATATAGCTTGATTGCATGTTTAATTAATTTCAAACTGCAAAAGCTGGTAGAATCCTTTAATTTCACTATCACTGGCTTCAAGGTAGATCTTGAAATGTTCTTTTTGGCAATGCCTGTGACATCAATTTGTCATTTCCGGTATAGTAAACCATATGGTTGTCAAAATCAAAATGGCCAATACCAGTTCATTTCAGCTCACTTTGTTGTTGTTGTTATGTGCCATCAAGTTGGTTCCAACTCATAGCGACACCTATAGGACTTCCAAGGAACAGCAAATGGATTTGAACTAATGAACTTTTGGTTCAGACCAACCTTGCAGTCCCATGCATTATCCTACAGAGCCACACCAGGACTCCATTTCACTAGTACATAGGATATTGATCTTTATGCATTCTATTTCATTTTTAAAAATAAGTTTTTATTGTGAAGTTTACATGAAGAACATCAGCTTTACATTCATCCTATCGTATTTCATTTCATTGCAATGATTACAACCCCTCATGCATCATCATATAATCCCAAAGGGTACACCACACAGCAACCCCCCCTCTCCAGCTGCCAGCACACAACCCTTCTCTCTCCCTGAGTCCAGTGTCCCCAGCCACTCCATCTGTCCACATCATCTAATCTGTCTCCACCCCTGGCATCACTGCCTCTCTGGGTAGAGTCCCGCTCTCAATTCTTCTCACTTGATGGTCCCAGGGACCTCCGCTCCTGAGCTGCAAAATCAATCACTCTCCTCCTTTTGTCAAAAAACATCTACCTCTATATTTCCTAGCCTCACAGTCAGACCTGATGGCAATTATTCACTGTTATACCATAAGAGTCTTATCCCCTTCCTTTCGCCAGCCGGGTCCCAACAGATTGGGTATCATTCAGTGGTGATTCTACCTTCCCCTGCCCCATCTGGAACTAGGCTCCCTCTTGAAAGCTTGTAATGCAGTCACTTCTTGACTTTATAGACTCCCCCATTTTGGGTAGCCAATGTCTATATTGCCCATCCCTGTCAACCCTGTGTACTGAGGGGGTGGGAGTGATCCTCGTTGTAAAGATTTGTTCCCTTTTTTTGAGCTACTGCATCCATAAGTATAGGTAAGCATTCTATTTCATTTTTGACAACCTCCAAATTTCCTAGATTCAGACTTTGTACAGTCCATTTTCTGATCATTAATGGGTGGGTATATCTGTTTGCTATCATTTTGAGTTGTGCTCTATCAGCAAATGAAGGTCCCAAAAGCTTTACTCCACTCACATCACTTTTGTCAACTCTGCTTTGAAGACGTAGCTCTTCCCCAGTCATATTTTGAGAGCCTCCTCACCTGGGGATCTCATCTTCAGGCACTATATCTGACAATGTTCTGCTGTTATTGATAATGTTTTCAGTTTCTAGTACTATATATGGCAATGTCCTGCTATTATTCATAAGGTTTTCAGTGGTGATACATTCAAAAATAGTCAGTCTTTCCTTCCTAATGTGTCTTAGTCTGGAAGCTCTGCTGAAACAGACTAATACCCAACTGGTATTTAAAGTAGCTTCCAGCTATGGAGT